TGAGTGTCATGAAAACAAAGATATTTAAGGGACGAGTTAGTTACAGGCTAGAAATATCTACACAGCAACAGCTATTTAATAACAAGCTCTTTCGTCTAGCAGTGAAAGGTATAACATGATCCCATGGCTGGAAGTTAAATCTAGACAAATTCAAACCGAAAATAGAGCATAAATGTAATGAGTGATTAGCCATTGGAACAGTTTACCAATTATTCTAGTGGAATATCCATCCCTGACATTTTTTAAATCAAGAAGGGATGCTTTTCTGCTGTAGGATTTATTTTGGGGGTCTTCTATGGGCTGTGTTATACAGAAAGCCAGGCTAAATAATCACATTGGTTTCTTCTGACCTTGGACTCTTTGAAGGTGCTTTCATTCCTTTGCAGACTACCAATTTATTGCTGTTGGTTTTCAGATAAAATGGCTTTTGTCGGATTCAAAGGCAGCTTTCGGCCAGTCTGGGTGAAACTGATTACCGAGGAGGATGCAGCTAAAATCTATCAAGTTGTGCCAATCCCCGTAGTGAAGAAAATGAAATTATGAGGCCAGGATGCTTGGCCTTCCTGCTGTTAGCACTGCCCTGATAGAAAAGGACTACTGACTCTGCTCACAACAGGCACCCTCCACAGCTCTCCAGAGATGTAGTACTTCTTTGTTGCTGTACATGAAGAAAGCTTTATTGCAAGTGGGTAGAGTGGCCACGTGTGACAAGCAGCATTCCTTGTGATGCACATCTTGTTCGATCCTGCCCTACTGATTTGCCTACTGATACCAGATTTATCTTTATTTTCTAAGCTAATATCTGGGGCAAGACTGTTTTCAAAAAGCGTGTTTTGGGGGAAGTGCATCCTCTGCTTCTGTTCTGCCTTCTACACCCCTTGTGAACCTCCAGGTCTGAATGCCAAATCTAACGGCCATGCACGGCTTGGAATTTCCCCATGGGACTGATTGCATCCGCTCTCTGCTGCTTTTGAGAGCACAATCAGCTGCTCGTACAAAACTGGGAATGCAAATTCAGAGGCTGGTTGAAAATTTGGAATGGAAGGCACAAATCGGTAAAAGCTGCAGCATATGGCCAAACAAGGAGCATTTATTTGAAAGCTTCTACACTATTCTGTCAAACTAGTGCAGAATCCTGGGATTACATGGCACATGTTGAATCTTCAGGGAGCTATCTCATTTCAGTGAATGGTATGTAGAGGGGAAAGAAAGAGCATAGGAGAGATTGATCACATTGTGATGCCTTGGGCTTCACCCAGACCAATAAAGGGCTAGGTCACCCTGTAAGCCTGGGTGCTTCCGTGCTATACAGCTATGGCTGAGGCCTGTCACCAGCAGCCTACTCAGTGATCTCACCTAGCTTGCACCTGCCTGATTACTCTTTACAGGGTGACACAATAGCCTCTTTGGTCCCAAGCTTACCCAAATCAGTCTCCCCCACAGCGCTCAGCCTCTCTGCCTGTAGCAGTCACCAAACCTTATCAAGTTTGCTGCTCCTTTGGAGACCATAATGCCAGCCTGGTAGTTTGGTTAAGGATTTTTCTCTTCAATTTGAAATGCTGCGCTGAGAATGGGGCGAAATGAAACAAGGTGAAGGTTATGAACAAAGAAGTGATATTTAAGTGATACTAAGTAGGCAGAATTGGAACTTTTAACATGACTACAGACAAACAAAAGTGAAAAGATGCATCTAAGCCTAAAGCCTAACTTAAACTAGAGCCTCTTGTTCAAAGTAGATTTCTCATCACATTTGTTCTTCTAGCATAGCTCACAGTTCTTAGCCCCAAATGAAGACAGAGCTCCAAGCGCTTCATTTCTTCAGATGAAGGATGCTAAATAGCTCATATTCTTGAAGTTTTATCTTTGTTTTCAAAGTCAGGAAGCCCTCTTGGGGGCTCAGTTTGCTGTATCCACCCAGGAGCTGACACCATGTTCATTTTTTGCTGTCTCCTCTCCCTATCATAATTGGCTATCCCCTCAACTTGCTAGTTGGATGGTGTTGTTTACCTTTTGTGTAAATGTACTCCCGTTGTCTCCCTTTGATCAGTTTACACTGGAGACACATTCGTGCAGGCAAGGCAATAGAATGGATTGACTTATGCTGTACCTGCTGAGCACATTTTAAGAACTTAGGAAATATATTTTCATACATCATGCAGCCAAGCACCAGCAATAATATTAATGACCAACTTGTGACCAGTTTGCATATGAACTTTTACACCTTTTAGATACAGATTATAACAACAGTAAATTGGGGCACACTGAGCTGGTTAGGCCAGCTGAAATTCACTGCTAGGAACCAGGGCACTCCTTGCTCTCTCGTGTTGGAGTGCTTTTAGGGTCACACACATCCAAATATGGCCATCATGGGACCTGCCATTTCTGCTCATTTGCTTAACCAACAACTGACATTTTCCGATGTATTTATACTTCAAAATAGGTATTGTCAGATCTTGTGTTTTCTCTGGGCAAGCTGCCACAGACTGGTAGAGAAGACTTGACACTTCACTTTTATTCTGTCTGTCCCACACATTCCTTCAAAGATAAATCTTCAGAGCCAAGGGGCTCGGTGGTAGCATATCATGTAGGCACAGAGAGGCTCTCTCGTTTGGGTCTCTTGTTTTCAGGCAGGGAATGCTGGGGAGTCATCTTACTCCATCCTTAATCAAGGGGGAGGCTTCAACATCATACTTCCAGTGCAATCGAGGGGAACAGTATCAGGCCCAGTGTGTTGTGTCTGGCTTGCTTGTAGTCTATTCTTGCCATGGGAGTGTGTTTAATAAGCTCCAAAGGGAGCTAGATCTCCGCTGGAAGGCAGGTCACTAAGGGGTGGGGGCTTTGAGGTCACGTGGAAGGGATAAAGAGTAAACGTTGATCCCAGAAGACACATCTCCTCCCAGATAATGTAAACTTACACATTTTCTGCTCCCTTTCCTTCAAAACATACGGATCTAATTTTTTTTAAAAAAGGATGAGCAAAGTTGAGTGTAAACCAGAGCTGCTTGCCAGCACACTTAACCTTACAAAAACACTGTCTGTTCCAATGGGCACACTAGGCATTGCTGTGTGTTTCCCAAAGATGTCAAGCAAATGTATCAAGTGGCTTCTGTTATTTGGGTAACTTAAAAAAAAATCTCTAAGTAGGCAAATTGTCAATATGCCAGAATAGCTGTTTCCCTTCCCTCTGTCATTCCCCAGGGGGAAAAAAAATCCATTGTTTGTTTCTTTTTAAATAGATTTCCCCCTCCCCCCCCTCTGTCTAGCATGTCCGCTTCGAATTGGAATGAAGCAGCCATGATTCTGTGGGTCATTGCACATGCTGTCGCTGTGCAGGTGCTGAATTCCGCAGGACCTTTCTGTCACTGTTTTGAGACTGGGTTGCTGTGTGAGTCAGTCAGGAATGGCATTCAGGCTCTACTATAGATTTGTGCCTCTCCAGTCCCTCCTGGGTTTTGAGACTGGAACTGCTTTTTTTCTATACAGTTTTTATATACTGTTTTCCAGCAGAAGAATTTCAAGACTGTTACACTTTTTTTTACAAAAGGATCTAGAGTTATTTCCCTTTCCACTGGCTTCTTTATGGTCTAGTAATGTAGGATTCTTCATCCAAGCAAAGACATATCTGCTTTTAACTATTCAGGCCATTTGGGCCAATTCTCTTGGATGCAGTGTGAAAGAACATAGCTCTCAAGCGATACACATTTCTCTCCCAATGTCTTATGATGATTTGGGGTCTTTCTGTCCCCAGATCACAACTATTCCTTAAAAGATTAGTCTCACTTACAGTTCAACCTCAATTGTACTAATCTCATTTATCTGAAATGCCCTGTTAGGCAAAACAGGATCCTATCCCTTAAGCCTAGGGAATTACATGAAACAATCTTTGATTACTCAGAATCCTGGCTAGCTGAATGCATTCAGGCTGTGTCTACACTGGCGCGATCTTGTGCAAAAGCAGCCGCTCTTGCGCAGAAACTTGCTGCCTGTCTACACTGGCCACGTGTTCTTGAGTAAGTAAACTGACGTTCTAATGTATAAAATCAGGGCTTCTTGTGGGAGAACTCTGACGCTCCCGCTCAGGAAGAAGCCCTCTTGTGCAAGAGCTCTTCCAGAAGAGGCCAGTGTAGACCGGCAACATGAATTTCTTGCACAAGACGCCCCTATGGTTAAAATAGCCATCAGAGCTTTCTTGAGCAAGAGAGCATCTACACTGCCATGGATGTTCTTGCGCAAAAGCTCATCTCTTTCGCAAAAGCACATGCCAGTGTAGATGGTCTCTTGTGGAAGAGTTTTTGCACAAGAACTCTTCCACAAAAGAGTTCTTCCACAAGAAGCTGCCAGTGTAGACGTAGCCTCAGTGTATTCCACAGCATACCCTTTAATTGAGGCTGGACCGTAGGTACAACTGCAGGTACAACTGCATCTATTGCTCGTAATAGCATTCATTGTTATAATGAATGAAAAATAATAGAATGGGCCAAGACCAGATTTTTTTTTCTGAATGTTTTAGGAGGGGAATCAAAATCAAAGAACCACTGTGTTTAGTTTAGTTCTCCAAAACCATCCTGTTGATGCTCTTTGCTGATCTAGGCAGCTAGGTATTAGCAGAGTAGCTAAGCACCTATAAACTCAGTACAATCTAACCCACTTTTGGAGCAGGATTCAAGTACTTTAATACAAAAAGGCAAGTTGCATTTGTACTGAAGTGTAGCATCTAATTTTCAAAATGTTTGGAATTCTCAGGGTGAAATCATAAGACTTGGCTTTAGGAAATATGCTTGTTTTTACTGTAAAATCACATCTTATCCAACATAAAGTCTCTCTAAATATTTTGTTCTGTCATGCAAGGGCCTATTCTTGGGGAAGGTGATGGGTCTTATTCTGTAAATATTTAGGATAAGATCACTGCAATTGGGCAGACAGCATGGCACAGAGTAATGGGAGGGATTCTCCCCTGAAATGCAAGCAGCTCCCATTGGAGTCAATGGGAGTTAGGTGCCTGGAACTGAAGGCAGAATTTGGCCTAATCTCCCCAATAGTTCTGATGTATCATATTTTTTAAATATTTGTGGATTCTAGAAGTTGAACATGCACTCCTCTACAAGTAGTGAATTGACTCCTTGTAGTTTGCACATTCTTTAAACTTGTCTGTTCACAAACTGCAAATATCCTGGCTGTAAGGTTTCATTGTTGCAGATATTTTCACGTTTACCTACAGGTGTCAGCATTGGGGCAATTTTGGGGTGGGGTGCGTCAGTTCAAATGCTTGTTTTACCTGTCGCCGAAATAGCTGGTCCTTTTTCGGAACTAGATGTATAGTTGTTTTGTACATTTTCCTATAGAACTCACAATGAAAAAGATATATTTTCTATTTATTTATTACAAAGGCACTATGAGAAGTAATTTTGCAGAGATTTGAAGAGTTGTTACTGGATTTTAGCATTGTTCAAGATGTTCTTGAAGTTGGCAATATGTCTTTTCAGATAATCTGCTTTGCACTTGAAAGTTATGTCCACAGAATGTGGTGATGGATTGACTGTCTAGTTTATGCTGACAGAAGCTCTTGTAAGCAAAAACTTTTGGAATGAATGTTCCAACAGAATTTATATGTAGTAGTTTGGAATACAAAAAGGTTTATCAGAATAAATATTCAATGTAAAATTATGATGTTGTCTCTTGTACTCTGTATATTATGGCAGTGAACTGGTATTTGTTTACCTATCTTTGACAGTGTGCCTGTTCTCTAACACCTAGAGTACTTTTGGTGACAATAATTTGTAAAGACATTCATGAAATAAGCATGAACATGAAGCCGCAAAAAATCCTGATTTTATTGTTTTCATAAATAGTCCTGTCACCCTATGAAGGTCTGGTAATCAGGGAAATTGTTATAATAGCTTGATACATTTTCCATTGTCGGGTTGAGCCAAACAGACTGTCTCTTTAAAACCTTTCAGAGGCAGCATTCCTAACGTGAGATTTTGGTGGCAGGAAATGTTTCCAACGTCCAAGCACATATTTTTGAACCAAGTCTCGTGAGGGTAGCAATTCGCATTTTAAAGGACATGGTATCACCTTCACAAGTGATTCAGGTGAGACAGCGAAGAACACATTTCTAGAAGTTGGCAGCCCATCCCCTCCCAGTTGAAATCAATGATATGTAGGACATTTCCAAATCAGTCACATTCAACAAATTGAAGATGAGATGGAAGACAGCACGGAAGCCATAAGACTTCTGCTATGGAAAAACCCATGTTCAGATAGATTTGATGTTGATCATTGTAATTCCCACTTCCCAGTTTCTTAAACATTTTCATCTGGGGAAACCATACTGACTGCTACATGCATCATCCACCAGCAGGTATGGGCATTTTTAAAGCCATAGCACAACTCTCTGCCACACTAGCTAAGTGAGTAATGGGTAGCAGAAGAGGACTATTCTCCTTTTATGAGGACTTCTCAGATAGGGTACGTCTACACTGCACCCTTAGCTTGAAATAAGATATGTAAATTGCGTATCTTATTTCATTTATTTTTTGAAATAGGCTATTTTGAAATGTGGTGTGTCTACACAGCATCAAATTTTGAAATAACACACTATTTTGAGACATCCCTTATCTCTTGTGCAACGAGATTTACAGGGATGCTGAAATAGCACATCTGCTATATTTCGCAATAGTGGGTGTGTTCAAAAGACATGGGGTAGCTATTTCGGGATGGCTCTGGTGTCCTGAAATAGCATTGCAGTGTAGACATACCGTATGCAGAGATGGATGACGGAGAGAGACATTCAACTTGCCAGTGGGGTTCTAAGCTATTTTCTGGATAACAAAGGGGTGTTGAGACTTGGGAACAATGGGTTCCATTCTGGGTTTGACGGGGAGGTAGTCTGGTGACTACACACCCTTCCTTCCACACCTCCTCCAGCCTTCTGCCCCCACCCCCATTCCTCCTCCCTAGTTACTTCCCCCATGCCCTTCTCTCAACCCTTGTTGTGCACTGTCCCCAGCTCCTGCCCCACACCCTGCTCCTGTCCTCCCCCATGCTGCAGTGCCTGCCCTTCTACGTCTCCTCCAATCCTAGCCCACCTGCAGCTCTGGTCCCCTCCATCAGCCCCTCTGCTCCTGCCAATACACAGACAATTAGCTGACAAATATATTTTTTAAAAGATCAGTTCTGCCAAATCTTGTGTATTCATCAAGTAGTGACCCAAAGTAAAGGTTAAGCCTCCTTGGTCCAGTACCCTCAGCACCTGACTGGTCTTGAACCAGAGCATTTGCCAGAACAAGGGAGGTCAATTCTGGTTGCTGATTCCTGGGACACTGGCTCCTCACCTCCCCAGGCCTGCTGGGGCTCTGCTACTGGCCCTTGAGGCAATAGGGTTCCACTCCACAGGGGCACCTGGCAGCATTCCCTGTAAACCGTGTGTCCACAGCTGGCAGCAGGTGTTCCTACTGGTCATGTCTTATAAGACCAGTGGTGCACATAAGAAAATGTATTCTGCACATGGATGGAAAAAAGTAGAGGGAACTTTGGCACCGGAGCTTTGCTTCTGGGCCCCTGGGTGCCAGGGCTCTGCTCCTGGCTGCCAGCCCCCTCGGTGTGGGGGCTCTGCTGTTGGTCACCAGTGTACCAGGTCTCTACTCTCCCAGTCCCTTGGTCCGACAACACCTCTGGCCCCAAATCAAACCCTGAGGGTAGCCCCCGCTGGTGTCCAGTACTCCTTGATCTGCGAGGCATAAGGGTAGCTGACTGGAGTGTGTGCTTCTGCTGGCTTCCCACGGTATAGACGATTCAACAGCTCAGCTTAAGGTAAAATGAATCCAACTACACATTTTGTGTAACTGGATGGCATTCCCTAAGCTGGCCTGCCTGGTCTAGTGTAGACCAGGCCTGAGTGCCCCAGCTCCAAAACACCCCTTGGAACATCAATGATGCTGGACCAGGGGTGTTGCTGGATTAGGGAAATCCAGATTAGGGAAATTCAACCCGTACAAAGACATACTCTGGAGAATGAAAGGGACATACTAGTAACTGGGTTTAACCTGGTCAAGGAGGATTGGGAAATGCCTCCCATACCTGTCTTTCCATGGGCATCCACAACTAGTACCCTGCCAGGGTGAGCAGGGTAAGCAGCGGGAGAGCCAGGGGCAGAGGACAGCCAAAGGAGAGAGCAAGACGGGCGGGAGAGGGGGTGGCAAAGGACATTTGCCAGGTGACTGGCCATGGCCAGCAGGCAGGGCTGGATTA